CCCTAGGGCACGCGCCTGGCCGTGAACGGCCGTGTTTCAACTAGGCTCCCCCCTTCGCCCGCTGTCGCGGGCTGAGAACAGAGTCATAGGCATGATGATCGGCATCGGAGTCCCACTGAAGAGTGCAAGAGAAGGTCGGCAAATGGGGACAGCCACAGGCCTAGCAGTGGTTTTGGTTTTCGGTCACCATGAACTTCGAGGGGTTCCAGCAGCCTTGAGTTTGGCTCAACTTGCCAGTGAAGTATATGAGCCGTTTCTTTTCGGGGGGGGAATGCGGGTTTTCCTATTGGTATTGCTTTTAACCACAAGGCACCCTCAAAAAAGACCCATTTTGCAGCAAACTCACAGGTTTCCACGAAATACGCGAGTTGCACATTTCCCTTAACTCACTTCCTGAGTTCATGGACTTTAAACTTTAGTCAGTTCTTGGCGTCGCGTAGTGGCGCAGAAACAGTTTGGGTATTCTTTCTGGCCCATCCAGTCGATCGGCAGTTAGATACGTGTAGTTCGGAAATTGCACGGCCATGACATGTTGAAGCAATATGTCCGTGGGCCCTTATAGGTTCGACATAAGGAGTGAGGAACTTGCGATTCCAACAGCGCTCCGCGGGTTGTTTCGCTGGGAACCCCTCTTCAGTCTTTGGAAGGTTTCCGCGCATCTGGTGACAAGTGCCCAAGGTATGGTCGGTTCTTGAATTCCATCACAACTGTTGGGACATGTTTTGGCCAACATGTCCTTGCATAGGTCAGTGTGTGTCCTGTTAGGAGCTCGCCTTCTTGCCATACTTGAAGTTCAACGAACTTAATTAAATTATAACCATGGCTATAGGACTAACCCCAATTACACCAGTTAAAATCACCTGACTCTGGTCGAACATCCAAGCGGCGTCTACCCTGCTGCCCGAATCCTGCACCACTTTGAAACCATGGTTGAACCCATTGTTTGTTGCTTGTTTTTCCGGGGAATCGTCGGGTTTCCGGGGGTTCTTAGGTGCGAACGCGTACCTCGTCCATCTACAGTAGCACCAGCGTACCAAACCCCGGGGAGTTTGGATAGGCCTTGCTGGTCAAACGACTCTCCAACTGGACCAGCCAAGTTTGACTTTTGGTGGGTTAAGCTCACTTCCTGAGTTCATGAACTTTAAACTTTTTTGGGTTTGGACCATTTTAGTGGCAAATATAAAGTTTGGACTTGTTCCGGGCCATCCACTCAGCCAGTGAGTAAACGGAAACTATTGGACACCCAACCAAAACGTCAACTTCCACTCCACTCAGCCTTCTTTCCCTCGCCGCCGCCTCACTTCCTGAGTTCCTGGACTTTAACTTTTTGGAGAAGACCGTTTTAGTGGTAAACCAAACTAGGTTCCCCAGTAGTGCCCTTCTATTTCTTTTTGGGGGAGGGTTCCCCTACCAAACTAGACTACAGAAAAAATATCGGGTACCCTTATTCTAACCTCTCTACTGGAGGGCCTAGCAAAAGTTCCTGGTGACTCTTTTTAGTGATCCACAAAAGAAGGGAAGCGAAGATCTCGCAGCCAAGAACTTTTGGTGGGGAAGCCCAAACACTAAACCCTGAAGTTCCAATTCCAACCTCAAGCTGCGGATCTCCGCCTTAATTCTTGAAGCCCGGTTCTGGGATTACCATTTTCATAGCCGGGTTTTAATTCGACTCCGCCTTCGTTTCCTAGGCCCCCAGTGCCCTTTCTCACCTTTTTTTTTGGGGGGTTGGGTTCCCCTACTAAAATAGACCACAGAAACAAAGATATCGGGTACCAACTCATTCTGACCTCTCAAGTCTGGAGGACCTCGTTGTTGTTCCCCAACAGCTGAACGCTTTGGGGTCAAAAAGCCCAGATAGGCTCCGGGGTGGTCCGGGGCGGCCCTGAGGTAAGGTTCCACCAGGCTAGCACCACATGCTGTGGGGGATATCACCTGAGCTTATTGTTTTTTCTTCGCCCAGGCACCTTCGGTTCCTGAACTGCACCGGTGGCGCCAAGACCCCCAGCGACTCAATCCGCGAGGTGTCGGTGATCAAGGCGCTGCGAGCCGCCGGCTTCGACGCGGAGATGTTCGAGGAGCGGGGCGGGGTCTACGACTGGAGCAAGGCGGGCGGCGAACTTTCTGCTTGTGTTTTTGGTTGTTTTGTTTTCTCCTTCTGTGTTGTTTTCCCCGCCTTTCTTCTTCTTCTTGTTTTTGTTTCTGTGGAATTCAGGAGCCATCCGTTTTTGTTTGTTTGTTTTTGTTTTGGTGGAATTCAGCAGCCATCCGGGGCCAGCCAATAGCCTCCATTTGCTGAATAGATTGTGTGTGTGTGTGTTCCCCCTGGTTGGCTTTGAAGGGTGTTGCTTTATTTTTGTTCCCAGGCAGCTTATGCAAATGGAGGTTACAGTGAAAGGTGGTCGAGTGTCCAAAGTTAAGCAACTACAAGTTAAACTTGTAGCAGCAACTCAGTAAGTTATGTTTTCTAAAAAAAAAAACTAAACACTGGCATAAGAAAAAAAAAAAAAAAAAAACAATATACTTAACAGAAACAAACAAACAACATACTTAACGTATTGCTATGAGTTCATTTGCTTCGAATATTAAAAGGAGGTCCACTCCTTGGAGAAAAGCAGATAATATGTGCAGTCATTTGCGGTGGGAGACATGGATCGCACTCACCACCGTTGGTGCCCGTTTCCCCCTTCTTTGGGGCAAGGGTTTCCCTTTAAACTCAACCAACAAAAGCAGGGTGTCGATTCTTTTTTGTCCATGGAAATCCACTGGGCATCTGAGAACCCTGGCCGTGGCTCACATGTTCCGAATTTTGGGGTAGTTTAAACATCACCTTTGCGGAGGCTGATGAAAACTCATGGGGCCAAGCCTTCAAGAAGGTGTGCCTAAGAAATGACTCATGAGTGGTAGGCTTCAACTTGTACAGCTCACAGCAATGAGGGCGAGCGATCCTTCCGGATTCCCACCAACCCAGGAACTAGGGCTGGATGTTGAAAGGACTAGGACGGCCGAATGTTTTTTTTTCTCATTGGCCATCGACCCCTTCCCTTGCTCGCGCAGGCCCAAAGGGCTTCGAACGACATTGAGGACACGATGCACCCGGCAAGCGAGCCCCCGCAGCCCAAGAACTTGGCTCCAGTCCAGAGCTGTGGAAACATCGCCAGACTTAGCTCACCTTTTCTCTCCCTGGGTGATTGTTTCTTTTTGGCGAACGACTCCATACAAAAACGGCGCGCTTTTCTTGTCGCCTTTCGGTTTCCCTTTGAAGCCTCCAGAAAGGGCTAGCCTCCAAAAGAGACAGACACGCCCAACGGTTTGCCTTCTGGTTTTTGTTCTTCGGCACGTCCCTTTCAGCCAAGCTTGTTTGGTCGGATCCGTCGAGCACAAGGAAAGAAGGTCGAGGACAAGGCCTCCATGGCGCTGCTTTTAATCTTTGCCTTGCCGGCCCTGGCATTTCTCGCAGTGCTGAAAGGCCGGCGCTAGTCACTTTACTTGCGCTGGATCAGAGTTTGCCGTGAGGCTAGGGATGTTGTGCCACTTCTGTGCTGCCAAGGAAACGGTGGTCCCCTCAAGTGAAGACTTATTTAAGGGGAGGCCTTCCGGCATCACAGAAGTGGAGCGGATCAGAGGGATGGCTTTCCTGATGTCACCTAAGCTTCCGGATCCAGGGTGAGCCGACTCCATCTCCTGAAGGAGTATTTCAGATGTACAGAGGGAGCACTGAACTAGCTGCCGGCCGAGCACTGCAAAGCTTTCATCCACATGCCAATGTGTTTGGCAGGGAGAGGCTTTGCCAGAGCTAGCCGTTTTCGTTTTTCTTTGAACCGCCCTGGTTGCCCTTGGTGGCAATCGTTTCTTCCCTTGGGGGTTGGGAAAGATCTCAGGACCTTTTACCCCCCCGGCGAATGGGCAGGGACTTTTTTTGGCTGGAGGCGGCATGAGGGGCGGTCGCTGACGGATCTCTGAGATTCGCATTCAGCTTCCGTTGCACAGTTACATGCCACCGGCCGCCTTTAAAGTGGGTTGTGGGAATCGTCGCGCAGCCACGGAGCCTGCGATTTCAACATGGAGCAGCGCCCTAGCCCATGGGGACGAAGTAAGACAAGCGTTGGTTCCTGCAAACCTGCTCAGAGTGTACCAATTTGCTGCGGCCGATTGCATGCGATGCCTATTCGGACTTGGGCATGTCAAAAATGAAGGTCTTGCGCGCGCGCAGCCCGCGCTTTTTCGAATGAACACAGCACAAGCACCATGCAGTCACAGTGCTAAATTGACCAGTTTGTGTTGCTTTCTTTAAAGGGCAGTGGACGATGGACATGGTTTCCTTGGCTTTGTGAGGCTATCCGGCCTGTTTGGCAACTACTCTTTGGCCTCTTTGGCCTCGGCAAGCCTGACCAGGCCCAAAGGGATAGCTGGGTCTCCAGATTTTCCTTGCCTCATCTCAACACCTTTCGGTTGCCATATTGAACTGAATGGTGCTTTGAGAGATTGCCCTTGTTCAACAGGGACATGTCCGGACATCTCGAACAGGAAGCGTTTGGTTCTCCTTGGCCTTCATTTCCTTAAGCCGGTTGGCTCCGTCTTGGTCCAAAGTAGATGGCTCCATTTATGTCGTCAGTGAAATGAACAAACCTCAACAGGCAAGTTGAGCTATCTAAGTCTACTTTCCTCCAACTGTAGCCCATTGACACCTGCCTCCCGTGCAAAGTGTTTGACGGGAATCCAAAAGGGGCCCCAACAAAAATACTCCTCTACCAGTGACGGATGTTTTGTCGGTTCCTTATTAGTCTGCAGGGGAGGGAAAAGCAGTGGCTGTTGAGTTCCTTGGCCTCAGTTTCCCTTGGTGGAAGGCCTTTGACTTCCCCAGAATTAGCTCCCCTTTTTGTTGTTTTACTTTTTTTGGGTCCCTTTGTTTTCCACTACCCAGGCAAAGAACGATATTTTTTTGCCGGGGTCCTAATTCCAGCCTAGTTGACAGGCCTCACCCACTGGGCCTCTCCGATCAGGCTGGCAGATGGCCCTCGCTCTCTGCTTTTCACTCAACGGCCACGCCTTGCAGCCGGACGAGGCGCGCAGACCCATGCAATGCCCAGCCCGGAGCGAATCCATCGGATGTGAGGTTTGGATTGCCAAATGGAGGTCCATTTCCCCACCTTCACGCGTCGCAAACGGATGGCAACATAGGGGGGCCGAATCCATTCACTCGAGAACATCGAACATCTCTTGTTCCCCGCCTGGTTCCTTAGCTTCTTCGTTTTAGTTGCGTTGGGCTCCCGAATTTTATCCCACAAAGTTCGTGAAAGTTGGCTGGGTTGGCCTCGGTTTTTTCCGAGTTCAACCGACAAAGTGACAAAAAACAACTCGTCTCGCGGCTCAGATCCGGCAGTGGCTCGAAATTAACGAGCTATAGGCTTACGCAGGTTTTGGTGTCCATGTTTCCACTTCCCAGAGCCACGCCCTGCCTTGTGGAGCAACATGCAGTTTTGCAAGAGTTGCCACCAAGGCTCAAAGAGCCACTTAGATAGTGGCAAAGAGCCAGTTGCAGCCGGAATGGCATTAGGGTTACGCAGGTTTTGGTTTCCATGTTTCCACTTCCCAGGGCAAGCACGCCATTTTGGAGTTCCGGTTTTTTGCGCCAAAATCTGACAGAGCTGCCGCCTCGATGTCAGGCGATGCGCACGGCGGCCGCGGCCTGTGGGAACCAGGGCTTCGACAAAGAGGCGGAGCCGGGCGCCCCGAAGCGCCCGAGCCGGCCGCGCGAGCGCGCGCTCGTTTTACCGCGCCAGGGCTTCGGGGATCGAGAAGTTGGGGAAAGCCATGGGTTTGATGCGCGTTTTTTTTTTTTTTTAAGGCCCCCCCAAAGTAAGATGAACGTCTTTGTTTAACTTTCATTTGCTGAAAAGATGTTTGTTTTTCCGTTGGTGTTTTAAGGATCATATATGACTCGTCCAGGTGCAGCCGTGATCTGCCATGAAGGCGTCAATAACTCACTTGCCCAAAAGACCTGCAAATAGAAGGTGATCACCTTTTGGGACCTTTACTAAAAATGGTTGCCAACATGGGAAAACCAAAAGGTCAAAAGGTCGATTCGCTTTGGGCAAGTGAGATAAGCATCACGTGGGCCACGTCTCCATCCGAAGATCACATCGTGGAGGTCCCAATGAGTGCAGCCAAAAGCTGCCGAGCAGCTGGCCCTGTTGCTGGCCCATCCATAAACAACAAAACGACAGCAACAAAAAACCGGGTCCGATCTCTCCAATCAACCAACCAACCATGTGGGTCCGTCTTTTTTAACACCCCCCCCCCAAAAAAAAGAAGAAGTAATAATCAAGAAGTTGTCTTTCTGTTTTGCCTTGAAAAGTATCGCAAAAAGGGTACCATGGCTTCCCCTGGAGCAACAAAAACACAAAATATGTCCACTCAGGGACTGGGGTCGCACGCGTGTTTCGCGCCAGCTCTAAGTCGGGTTTTCAGGGGAAGCGGGGAGTTTCTCAGTGCCGACCCTAGAGGTCTGGGTGAATTGTATCCACCTCACACGACCGAATTCACCCCAAATGGTGGGTTTATGTCGGGAATAGGCCCGCAACCATTTTTTTCAGATTGGTGAAGTATTATAATTCACCCAGGCTTGGTGGCTTTCTGGTGCCGACCAAGATCGCAACATTGGCTGGGGAGCCGCTTTTTTTTTTGTTCCGGTGCCTTTCTGGGGGTTACCCTCCCTGCAAAAAATGGAAGCCAGAGAGATTGCTTTTGGGGGAGAACCCCCCCTTTTGTCACGTCCATGATTGTATTAGGGAGGGTGGTTATGTTATGTGTTGAACGGACACCAGAGGGAATCCAACCAGTTCAGATGGTCTCATTTGAGACAAATCTGAGGGTTGACATCAACCCTAACTTTCAAACAACGTGGAAACCTACTTTGGATGGCAGTGTTTACGCAAGAACTGGAAGTCAGAGCCCGAATGGGACAGTGGATGGTTTTTGACTAACCCCGCAAAGAAAAGCACAATGAGTAGGAGTCTTCTTTGGTACCCTTGCGTTGTTCGGGTTTTGCTTTGAGAACTCTAGAAACCTTGAATACTCCAGCAGACCTTAGAAGCCGTGGAAAAACCCTAGAACCCCCAAGGGCCGTATGAACCGAGAGGCAAACTTGGGGGAAATTGGAGCCCGAAGCCCTGGCTTCGCAGTCAGCCGTAGTTAACACTTTACCAAAAGCAACCCGACGCCATGGGAGCGCAATGTTTAAGACGAACACAAACCCAACGAATCCGCGAGACCAACTTTTTGCTTCAAGGCGTGAAAAGTAAACATGCCACACACGGAGGGTTGCCCTACTAAAATAGCCTGCCAAAAAAAGTTGGTACCCTTATTCTAAGCTCTCAAAAACTGGAGGACCTAGTTGAAATCAAGATAATTGATCATTTCCACCAGACCTCTGGGCTTCTTGGTGCTTAGCCTGAGGCCTCCTCTACTGGAGGACCCAGACAAAGCCACGGCACACGCTTCACGGATCCGTTTCCGGAAAGAAAAAAAAGAATAAAAACAAACGCCGAGGCTCTACAGGGAGGCACAGCCCTGGCAACGCGCGGAGCAGCTCTTGCGAGGCCTGATCCTGGGGATCCCGGGAATTCTTAGAGCCACCTCACTGAGCTCTAGCAACGGAATTTATACGGCGCCTTCCTGACTTCACTGAGTTCTGGCAACGGATTTTTTTTACAGCCTAGGTCCCCCAGTAGTGCCCTTTCTCACCCCTTTTTTTGGGGAGGGTTCCCCTACTAACATAGACTACAGAAAAAAGTTGGTACGCTTATTCTAACCTCTCTACTGCAAAACCTAGCAGCGCTTTTTGAAATGTTGGAATTTCGGAGCTTTTCAATTGCACTCAAAAAGTTTGGGTACTTTGAGCCATGCACTCAAGTGGCACGTTCCGGTTGTTTTTTCGGTTGGCCTTTACCACCAAGGGGGAACAACTCCAAACAAAAAGACAGCTTCACATGGCTGCACAAGGCTTGCTGGAAGACCAGTTTCATCTTAAGGGGTTCGGTTTCTGCACAGGTTCCATGTTTGTTTTTGGGAGGCCCCAAATTATCGGCACGTTTGTTGGATGTGTGCGGACGGATTCGGCTGAGTGCGATGCCTTCTTTGGTTCAGGGCGAGATGACAAGAACCGCTGTGCGAAGTATTCCGAGACGAGGTGTTGCAGGCAGCTACCCTTCTCAGACTTTGAGTCCATGATTTACGATCCCCGCTTCGTCAAGGGCGAGCGCCAAGCCGTTCGCCAACGACGTGAAGGGCCGACCGTTCTTGTTTGAAATGGGCAAGACTGAGATGAGGCCGTCCTACAGGGCTAAGGTCCGACACCGGCACGACCGACATCAGGTCGGTGTCAAAGGGATTCACCCTCTGGTGGCTTTCTTGATGCCTGCGTGAGCAACGGGCCAACTGACATCAGTTTGTCGTTGACTTAGGTTTGGAGTTTAGATGCCTACGTTGAGCGGAGTTGTGTTGTTGTGTCTTCGCTTGGCATCCGGGGGGAGCTCTCTTTATGCATGATTGATCTTTGACCTACCCCGGCAACCCTATTTGGATGGATTTGCATCGTTCACTTCTTAGGAACATGTGGATTTTTGCACTGACCAGCAAAAGGGGCAACTTGGCGAAAGCTGGGTGAAAGATACGGCCCGATTCTCCCATCTTGGTTTCGTCATCCCCTTTCCCACATAAAGGGAATTGTGCCATCTACTTTCACCCTAGACTCACTTGCCCAAAGCCGACCTTTTGGATCCTTTTGGCCTTTTGTTTTTTGCCATTTTGGCAACCATGTTTAGTCAGGGTCAGGTTTCTCCGCAAAAAAACAATATAGTTTAGCACCGACTAAATCAAAATCCTAAGCTCACCTGAAATTTAGGCCAGAGTTGTACCCCTGGTTGTTCGTAGACCGGAGACCAAAAACCCCCCGCATAGCTTCCAAGGCGGCAATCCACACCAACTTCCCGAGCGGCCAGCAACCAGTTTGGCATTTGTCAATCCTCTCTGGACTTGCGACCCCCACTTGAGCGAAGCTCTATTGACTCTCGGTTCCCAGCTCATACAGGCTCAACTCCTTAGTGTAATCCATCCAAGTAGTGGAACCGATGACCGCGCTGGCGCTGCCCAGTTGTGTTTTTGTTTTCTCTTTGGTCGGAGGCCAGGTTCGTAGTCACGGTGCCAGTAGGTAAACCGATTGACCATGACCATCTGAGGGTGAAGGTTAAGCCTTTGCAAAGGGGCTCCATGAAAAACGAACGCTTCGGTTCGCTCCGCTTGTGTGAAATCTAAAAGGCACCATGATGTTTGTAGAGGGTTTCAAGTTGGTTTCCAACTAAGAGGCGCTTGTTTTGTCACGCTGCCAGTTTTACACAACCAACAGGTTTCGCGGCTCGCTTTGTTGAAACAAGCAGACCTTGGCTTGTGTAAAGGGAAACCAACAAGAGGTTGCTTCAGCAATCATGGTTTAGTCTTGAAAAGTTGAAGTAGTTGGCACTACCCTGCCCTGGCCGCTTGAGTCTTTATATTCGCCGTTTGGTTGGTATTAACTAAATGAGTGGGATATAGTGGGATGTTTAAGTGGCCAGGAATGTTAGTAGGGAACACGCTGATGTCCACCAAAGGCCCCCTCAACATACCGCTGCCAGGCTTTCAGGGAGCGACCCTGACCAGCTGCTTGGACAAAGGCAGGACCCGTTTTGGGGCATTGGCAAGCCGTTTTCCACTACGCCATGGGTCATGCATTATGCGTTGCCCAAAGCGAATCGACCTTTAGGCTTTTGGAGTCAGCGAAGGCAATGGATTTGATAGATCTGAGCCTCCCCTAGCCCATGGGTTCGATCCCTCATGGTAGAGCTGCATAGGCGGGCGTGGCGATGTGCCCGGAGGACCCCAGCAATCCACGGGTCCTCTCTTTTGGTTTCCCCTTCAAAGCCAACCTCAACGAATCGTACACACGCACCCACACACACACACCACACACACACCACACACACACACACACACACACACACACACAGACACAGACACAGACACAGACACAGACACAGACACAGACACAGACACAGACACAGACACAGACACAGACACAGACACAGACACAGACACAGACACAGACACAGACACAGACACAGACACAGACACAGACACAGACACAGACACACACACACACACACACACACACACACACACACACACACACACACACACACACACACACACACACACACACACACACACACACACACACACACACACACACACACACACACACACACACACACACACACACACACACACACACACACACACACACACACACACACACACACACACACACACACACACACACACACACACACACACACACACACACACACACACACACACACACACACACACACACACACACACACACACACACACACACACACACACACACAACACACCCGCGCACCCGCGCGCGCACCCGCGCGCACGCGCGCACGCGCGCACGCGCGCACGCGCGCACGCGCACACGCGCACACGCGCACACGCGCACACACGCACACACGCACACACGCACACACGCACACACCCGCACACCCGCACACCCGCACACACGCACAGCCGCACACCCGCACACCCGCACAGACGCGCGCACGCGCGCACACACACATGTAACCACTCGTGACTTGCATGGTACTCCTTTGGTAAAGGGCGCGTTTGCCTAACCGAATCTGGCAACTTTTTGTATGTAGCGGTGGACTTGTTGGTTTGAGTCACCTTTGCCAACTATAGATATGCAGTCGTCGCACGTCTTCTGTTATGCAATCCTGAATCATGAAATGCCATCCTGTTGAGCTGACTAGATTTGTTAAGAGTCTATTCAGCATAAATAAACCACTAAAGAGGATGTTCAAAAGTGTTGAGTTGGCAGACAATCAACAATCCTTGGTGGTTCCAAGCGATCCCCTTAAGTTTGTAGGTGTTTAGTATTTAGTGGGTATCATTTAGCCCACTAGTTAAAGTTTTACCAGGTGATCTGAAAACGGACAGCCCAGAAATCGTTGAATCCGATTCGTATGATTGAGTGTGTTCCACTCAGAGGGGGCCTTTTTGCCACCTTTGGCCCCTTTTTGAGGGGGTCGCCAATTTTCTCACAAAAGGTTGCAAAAAGACCCCCCTGGTTCCACTATTGTTGGTTCTGTTCACGGCTTCGGTGGCATGGAATCCACCTCAAAGTTTGGTTCGACCCACATTTGGTGACTTTTTGTTTTTGCACCGCACGTTTGCACATCTTGACCAGATGTTCCGTTGCGTGAGAGCGTGGATGGAAGAATCTCCCTTCTTGGGCTGAGTCATCCAGGGAATCGTGCCATTTGGGTGTGTCTTTTTCATTTTGTTTTGGTTTTGGAAGCCACAACAAATCAAAAATCCACCTACCCAAGTTGGCCAAGTCTAGCAATGATAAGTAAGCTTTGGTGCATTTTGCTTGGATGTTAGGACTTTAACTTTTTGCCGACAAATTGGTTTTCCATTAAACCACTAAAAGTTAAACTTTTAGCAGGGGAAGAAAGCAACCGAGTAAGCCTGAGATCGTTTCCTCTGGGTTTCTCGTAAATTACCCTCAAAAAATGACACCCAGTGCGACTCGCATTGTCCTTCCACGCACCGACGGATCGAAACCGCAGGTTTCGAGTGGGCTCGTGCGTTGCGATCTTTAGAGGCGGGGGAGTTTCTCGGCTTCTGCCTCCCAAACCACGTTCGTCCTCAATTTTTCGGGGCGCAGCCACGGAAACCCAAGGATCCTGTGACCAGAGGGGCCTTGTCAAGCCTTTTTTGATCCTAAAGTGTTGGGGGAACATTTTTGGTGACACTTGCTGGTTTTTGGTTCATTTGGGAGGTCTATCATTTTTGGAGTTGGTACTTGGATGTTGGATTCGCAAGTGTAGTAAGTCCTGGCCTGGGTTGTAACCCACGAAAAACGGTTAACTCCACTGAACAGGGCACCTAGAAATTCATGGGCTACAACCCAGGTTACCAAGAACTTGCTAAGAAAGCTGAACACCCAAGTACCAGTTTTGGTCGTTGGGTTTTACAGGGGCACCAGCGGAAAACTGAAGCCCCTACGGAGGGGTCCCGGGAAAAAGAAGAAGAAACACAACACAACGACCAACAGGTAGACGTCATTTTAGGGGTCCTGTATTTTTTGGGGGGACATGAGCCAGCCCTCTGTTTAAATATGTAGCTTGGCAACAAACATAGCTCGGCCTTGCAGGTGGAAGAGCAGACTGTGGGCTCAGTCGCTCTCAAGTCTTACGGGCTCTGGCCTGAGCGCAAGGGCTCCTTTGGCTGGTGTGTCCCAAAAAAAGCATGCAACAAGTGGGTGTTTGGAGTAGGGGTGTTTTTTAGATACAACCCACTTAAGCAACTGTTGTAATCTCCTCCCCCTATTAATGAATGACCCCCATTAATAATAAATGCAAATCCGGGGCCCGAGACCAGATTCCCACTCCGTACAATTGATTTTCAATTGCCCCAATATTGAACCAATACTAAAGTTTTGGAATCCTTATTAGGGGGCACTTTTAGCAAGCTTCCAGCTCCACTTTTAAAAAGGTGGGTTCCTCAATTCCCCAAAAGGTTGCTTCCCCAAAAGCTGGCTTCCCCAAAAGGTTGGGTTCTTTTGGTGGGTTCCCCAAAAGGTTGTTCTTGACTCTCTCCCCAAAAGGTTGTCCCTGGTTGTCCCTGACTCCCTGGTTGTCCCTGTCCCAAATAATTAGAATGATACATCAAATTTCCTTATTAAACCGCTTACTCGCGGACCTTACAATTCAATCCATTTCCTCCAAATCCTATGTGAACCCTCACATTGTTGGAAAAGCAAAAAAACACAACCCCAAAACCCCAATTAAATATATATTTGTATATATTTGGGTGGATTTATGTATAATAGGGGGGGGGGGGGGGTGAGGGGGGGGGGGCGTATTTATTAATAGGGGAACGGATTATTTTCAACTGGCTCCTACAGGGTTTCGTCTGGGTTGCCAGCCACCCCCCAACCCCACTGCAGCCACTCACCCAACCCCACCCACGCCACCCACCCCCACCACCGACACCCACCCACCGACACCCACCGACAACCACCCACCCACCGACACCCACCCACCCACCGACACCCACCCACCCACCGACACCCACCCACCCACCGACACCCAGCCACCCACCAACACCCACCCGCCCACCGACACCCACCCACCCACCGACACACACCCACCCACCGCACCCGTAGTTGCGCTTGTTGGGTTGGTTTGTTTACAAAGAAACCAACAGGAAAACACATTTGGGGGGGTTTATTGTTTTAACACACACCCATCCTTCATCCTGCAGCTCTTGACATGTCAGGGGTGCTCGGGCGCTTACTTCTGATTTCTCCAAATCTCATGCCCAAAAGCACTGTCATCGTTTTCTGTCAGGTCGCTTCATATGAGGGTTCTGCGTGTCGTGAAACGCGCCTAACAGAGCAACCCAGATTATCCAGATTCAAGTAGGGTCGGGTTCCGAGGGCTTTATAAAAGTTCCATCAGGGTGTCCAAACTGGGGTCTCCAGGGCCCAAGCTCTCACTGGTGTCTCTTTGCATTGGCGTAGTACTGTTTGGAAGGGCTTGAGAAACGGCCGCATCTAAGGAAGAATTACCAAATCCTGATGAAGAGTGCTGCGCTTCGCTGTGCGGCGCGGCATGACCATTGCTTTGAGCAAACTGAGGTAATGATCGATCTTGGATTTGGGCTTGGAGCTGAGCTCCCATTGCTGGGCCTTCTTTTTTGTTTTTTGAACCGACTTCTGCGCCAGCCGCTGAGCAAAGTGGATTTTGCGGTCTCGCCATGCGCTCGACATGTGTGCTTTGTAGTTCTCTCCGGCCCAAGCTCGACGAAACATGGCAGTTGTATACCTCGTGTACGACGAATACGCATGCTGCGCCGGAGCTGAGGAGCCGATCCTGCCATGAGTTTGATGCCCCTCGCCAGGCATGCCGGGAGATGCGAACGGCGACGGGGGTGTTGCCCACATATGTGGGCGATGAAGACCACAACGCCGTGGCATGTCGGGTCCCGAGAGCCACCCCCCACCCACCCACCAACACCCAACACCCACCCACCACCCACCGACGCCCACCCACCCACCGACACCCACCCACCGACACCCACCCGCCCACCGACACCCACCCACCCACCGACACACACCCACCCACCCACCGCAGCCGTAATTGCGCTTGTTGGGTTGTTTACAAAGAAACCAAAAGGAGAACACATTTGGGGGGGGGTTATTGTTTTAACACACGCCCATCTCTGAATCCCGCCTTCATCCTGCAGCTCTTGACATGTCAGGGGTGCTCGGGCGCGTACTTCTGATTTCTCCAAATCTCATGCCCAAAAGCCCTGTCACCGTTTGCTTGCAGCTCGCTTCATATGAGGGTTCTCAAATCAATGAGAGCTCCTGAGCACAACCACCCACCCACCCAACCCACCCACCCACCCACCCACCCACCCACCCACCCACCCACCCACCCACCCACCCACCCACCCACCCACCCACCCACCCACCCACCCACCGACCCACCGACCCACCGACCGACCCACCGACCCACCGACCCACCGACACCCACCCACCCACCCACTCACCCACACCCACCCACCCACACCCCCCACCGACACCCACCCAGCCACCGACACCCACCCACCCACCCCACCAACACCACCCACCCACCCACCCACCGACGCCCACCCACCGACACCCACCCACCGACACACCCACCGACGCCCACCCACCCACCGACACCCACCCACCGACACCCACCAAGGCATGTCGTGCGTGTCGTGAAACGCGCCTAAAAGAGCAACCCAGATTATCCAGTTAATTATTAAAGTTCCATCAGGGTGTCTAAACTTGGGTCTCCAGGGTCCAAGCTCTCACTGGTGTCTCTTTGCATTGGCGTAGTACTGTTTGGAAGGGCTTGAGAAACGGGCGCATCTAAGGAAGAATTACCAAATCCTGATGAAGAGTGCTGCGCTTCGCTGTGCGGCGCGGCATGACTATTGCTTTGAGCAAACTGAGGTACTGATCGATCTTGGATTTGGGTTTGGAGCTGAGCTCCCATTTGCTGGGCTTTCTTTGAACCGACCCAGGCTCTGTGCGACTGCTGGGACGTTTCTGCGCCAGCCGCTGAGCAAAGTGGATTTTGCGGTCTTGCCATGCGCTCGACATGTGTGCTTTGTAGTTCTCTCCGGCCCAAGCTCGTCGAAACATGGCGGTTGTACACCTCGTGTGCGACGAATACGCGTGCTGCGCCGGAGCTGAGAAGCGCGCCGATCCTGCCATGAGTTTGATGCCCCTCGCCAGGCATGCCGGGAGATGGGAACGGCGACGGGGGTGTTGCCCACATATGTGGGCGATGAAGACCACAACGCCGTGGCGTGTTGGGTCCTGACACTGCTTTGAAACCTTGATGGGGAGCCCCTGCGAGGCTGTGCTTTCAACGTGATGCGTTTGCCCCATTGAAGCAACTTGCACCCATGGTGGGAGTGTGACTGCAGGCGCCCTGCTTTGTATATGTGGATAGCAAAGCTGCCAAGGTCAACCCCAGTCTGACCATCCTATGGCATGCTCGGGGTAGAACGAGCGAAAGCCATGATGGGAATCCGTGAATTCAGCTTTTGGTTTTTCTGTGAAGTTTGTTCATCCAATGCAACCCATTCCAAGTGACCATAAGGCTTCAAATCAAGGAAGCCGGACTCATGGGACGCGACATCGAGCACAAAACCATTTGACCCAAGTTGCAAGTTTTGCTACTTTCCCCGAACACAAATGGTCTCGGAAGGAAGACCCTGTGAGGGAACCATGACGCGACGATTCCAAAGTTCCCACGTGCTGCGGATTTGTTCATCGCTCAAGGAAAAAAATACCCGTACATAAACGCCAAAAAATACTCCACTTTGAATTGATATAGCATGCACATATTTTACAAATATTTCTACACATGTCCCAGATGAGTGATCCACCCCTTTGGGGTACAGGAAGAAAAGTGGATGGAATCCCCAAACAAGAGCATCTACACCGTTTTCTTGATCATTTCACTCACAAATCCAGAATCCGTGTGCCAGATGGTGGTGCTTTCCCTTGTAGTGGTCCATGGATGTCGAAAACATCTAATGGAAATTCCCCTCGTTTCGCACAAGGACACCCAGTTCAACCCAATCTATTTTCCTGATGTTGGTTTTTCACACCGAAGTATACTGCCATTCTGGAAGGGCGCCCATTTTGAACAAGAACACCCAGTTCAACTCCACGAAGTAAATGGTCCTCCCGGTTTAACCCAGTTTTGAACAGGGGCGTTTTTTTGCTACCTTTTGTGAGAAGATCCCTCAAAAAGGAATCCTTCACTACGAGGGGGTCGATCAATTGTCCACAAGAGGTGGCAAACAAAAACCCTGCAAACATCGGGACAGTAGGCTATAGATATTATGTATAAGGGGACAATCACCCCAGATACACCAGTTGCAACCGAGTTCTATCCTACTTACCTGACGTTAAGCAGCCGGGCACTTGACCCAAGGGCGGCCTTGTCTGCGTGCCAACGGGCCGGAGATCTATGGCCGCAGAGCTTGGCGTTGCTGCAGGAGAATCCATCCATCGATCGGGGGACCCGGGACCCGGCAAGACTTGGTTGGGAACCAAAAGAAAACCCTTCACTGCGCTGTGTTCCATTTTCTGAAATGAGTATGTTTGATTGTCTCCTGTGGGTTTAAAGGGAACCGATCACTACTGGACATAGGTGTTTGTTTGTTCCCAAGTGCTTAAGCAAATGGAAGAAGGGAAGCAATCCCTTCACTGCGGTTGGCAGTTTTAAGCTTATTGTTTTGTTGTTCTTTCATTTTTTAACAGGGGGCTGCAAAAGACAGTCTTTGCTGCCATGCCTAGGAACCATAGGTTTCTTTATGGGACCGATTCCGACTTTGAGAAGCCGGCTCCAAGCAAATGTTCAAGTTGGACCGTCAGCTAAAAACAAAGAACGCACATCGTTGTCTAATTTCCAGGGTTTTTTTTTGGGGGGGGGTGCTTCTTAGGGCTCTTTAAAGATACACGTTGGCCCTGTGTTTGTGTTTTTTGTTTGCCAGGCCAAAAGGAAGGCATGTTCGAGTGGACATTCCAAGCCCGCTGTTAAGCTTCTACCCCTATATGTGCGATGTTCTTCGAGGGTGCCCTTTTTGTGGTGGATTGAAAGGAAAGCCAGAAGGAGAACCACAATGCTGTGGGCCCCCTCAACAAGTCACCGACATATGGAAACAACATCTGATTCAGCTCTTCTGCAACAGACCCTCATCTTCGGAGGGGTACGACTCTGCAGCCAGGCAGTCGTCGAGTCAGTGTCGAGCCGTGACCGGTGGTTATTGAGGTGCCCCCTATCTGCTCGATGACTGGTATCAGTTCATGGTGATCCGCTGATTTTTTGGTGGGAAGATTGCCGGGCAATGCCTTGACTGCTATTGGGTTGGATCTTTAGACTTTAACTTTTTGGGAAAGCAAGGGGTGTTCCACTAAGCCCCCAAAAAGTTAAACTTTTGCAGGGGGGTCAACACCAACCAAGATGCGTGCTTCCTAACACGCGCGAGGAGGTGTCGAGGCAACGTGTGGAAACCAGCCAGGGAGCCCAAGAGTTTTTCCGCTTCGGGCGAGGCGTGTTGGCTCGTGACCCTTGAGGTGTGTGGCTCGTGTTTCTTGGAGGGAACCACCCCTGTTGGCGGGTTTAAAGGGAAACCAAAAATGAGCCAAGTTTGCGGGGTTCTCTATTTTGAGACCAACCCAGGTCACCCAAGGGGACCACTCCCCAATGAACCTTATCCAGAGGGAGATGCGCACACTACCATAGAGCATTCGGTACTCTCTTTCGCTTTCCTTTTGTTTTGTGTTTTTCTCTATTTTTTTTCTCTCTCCCTCTCTCTCTCTCTGCTCTCTCTCTCTCTCTCTCTCTCTCTCTCTCTCTCTCCCTCTCTATCTCTCTTTTTTTCTCTCTCTCTCTCTCTCTCTCTCTCTCTCTCTCTTTGGTCAACATCAAGCTCAGGTTCCAAAACAGAGATTTGGCTGGCTTGACACGTAATTCATCTGAATGCGTTTTCCAGTGTTCTCAATTCCAGATCAAACCAAAACGCCCTCGCCTTGTATGAGAGCTTGTAGCGCTCGCTCACCTGAGGGTAAGGTGAAGCGGAATGAGAAGCCCAGAAAGCCCAACAGTGGGCGCATCCACGAAAGATTCGATTCGGCCATAGGGAAAGCATTGACTGAGCCCTGAGCGGATGGATTTGTGTGGGACATGCACTTGGCATGGAATCAGCATGCCAAGCTGCGGCCAATCATTGAGATTGCTGTGATTGTATCATTTGAGCCACAATCAAAACCTGGGGATTGATGAAGGTTAAGGACGATCCCCTTGCCAGAAATAGCTGCGGATATCCGGCTCCGTAATCCTGTACATGGTTCTGGGTCGACCATTTTAGTACCGATCGGTTTTGATTGCGACTCAAGTGATCACCTTCCGCGGACGAGTGTCTTCTCCGCTGGATGTTCTACGGTTTCCTGGTAAAGGAAGCTGGTGAACCAGAGGCCTTCTTTTGAGCTCAAAAAGTGTTGGGGGGAAGCGCACACAACGATGTTTAGTGTGGGCCAGTGCACTTGGGAGGTGAGAGTCGATGTGCTTTTGGTCAGCTCAAGAGCACTGAGACCGTGAATTAAAACGTGGCACGCGAAAGGGAGCTGGCCGCAAGTCAGACAAGGCGGCGCTGGAGTACGCCAATTGGTGCCTCGCATGTGGATTTGAACCCTGGATAGCACGAGACCTCCAAACCGGACTCCAAACCCGCAATTAGAGGGATGCTGACATGGGTGAGTCCCCAAAATAGGGGACCCCTTTTTGGCAGGCCCTGAAATGGGTCTGTCCCCAAAATAGGGGATCCCCTTTGCCAAGGGGAGCTCAACTGAAGCCAGCCTTCTTGAGAGCTCAAATGAGTTTGACCGAGGCGCCATCGCCTTGCAGGCGGCGAGAAAGGGATGCCCAACCTCTGGTTGTTCAATACGGGGATGCCATCTTTTAGGGGGGGTTCGTCGCATTTGGAGGGGAAACCACACCTATTTCCTTCCCCGGAATCTAAGCTTCCCCTTTTTCCTTGTTTGCTTTTTTGGTTGGTTCCCTTTGTTTTCCACTAACCAGGCAAAACATATATTTTTTGGCTGGGGTCCGATTTCATGGGACAGGTTTAACTTGGCATTCCGCTGGTCAACCATGATTTCGTGGCTTTCCGCAGGTTGATCCTGAAGCATCTTGCTCATGGCTTGCAGGTGGGGGGATTTTTGCATTTCTGGTTTGGAGTATTGGCCAAATCTCCAATTTGCTGAAGGGGGTGAGGGCCATGTTGCATGTCTCAAAGTCGGGGATCTCTGTTGGTTGTCTCTTTTGTTTTTTGCTTTGAACATGTGAAAAGGGACCTAATTTGAGACGCATCCAAATTGGGTAACCCCTTTGACGTTCTTGATAGAGCCACTGCTCATACTTTGTTGGCGAATTGCCAAGGCTGTGTCCCCACCCGCACTGCCAATGGATGATGTTTGACCAACCAACATTGGCTTCCAACAAGGGGTAGCTGCGCATGGCTGGAGTTCAGCAGTCAGGGAGCAGGTCTGTCAGTTGCCGAGCCCACCATGATCCCAACACTCGCATTTTTGCGCGCGAAGCTCCGTCCAGGAAGCAGACCGTGACTCAAGAAAATGTCAAGGGCTGCCCGCCCGAGCTGTTCAAGGCACTTCCATTTGGTTAAGAATATGTTATATTTCCCCTGATGGTTTTAAAGGGAATCTATACTGGACATGTTTTTTTCTCCCAGGGACTTAAGCAAATGGAGGTCGACTTTGCTATATGGAGGTTCTTGACCTGGATGCGGTCCAGTTTGGCGCATGCGGGAGGGTTCCGGCACCGCGCCAAGATCTTGGCAGAGGTCTCCCCGCTTTGAAGCGGTGTGTGAAGCGCTTCTACCGCGCCTGCGCCACTTCGTGGAAGCTGGACTCTTCTGTTTCCCATAGTAATCAAGCCAGGTAAACGTACCAAATTGTCTTAGGGGTAGAGTGCATGCCCCTGCCATATTGCAAGGTAAGGCGACAAGGAAACCCCCAAAGGTGACAGAGTGCTGGACCGCCGGGCTCAAGACACGAACTTCTCGGGGGCCAAAGGGCCATTTTCCGGAGTGTGACTAGAAACCGGCAAGAGGGGGGGGTTTCCCCGTTCGCCGAACCCTGGTGAAAAGTTTTAGTGTTAGTAAAAAGAACTGGAAGGTGAACCTAACCCATAGAGGTAGGGTTGTTCCACATTTGAGCCACAGGTGAAACTTTTAGGAGGTCAGAATACGGAAGAAAAAGATCCTGCCTTTTGGGGCATGAACCAAAGGAGCCAAAGGAACCCTCAGTTGCCCAAAGCGAATCGACCTTTTAATTTAACCTTTGGGTTTTCCCGTTTTGGTCCCCGTTTTTGGAGGTGCCAAAAGGTGGACCTTTGATTTCTGGGTCAAGGGGCACGTGAGAAGCAGAGCGCATCCGCCGGGCTGGAAAGAGCTGGAAGCTTCTGGGCCTCGGGCCCCGTCTCGGAGGCGGCGCTGGAGTCCTGCGCAGGGGCGTGGGGGCCCCCGGTGCTTGCGGTCGATGGAGCGGGGCTTTGGTACCCTTTTTGATAGTACCCTTTTTGGGTGTGGTTTGAATGGAAACCAAAAGGAAAACCACCATTTGGGGGCCATGTTTTTTTCCTTCTAACAAACGTGTTTTTTTGGCACAAAAGTAATTACATACTAACCCCAACCCCCCCGGCTGGTTTCATTTTTTTTTATCACTGGGAATGTGTTGTTTGTTGTTTTTTGTTTCCCAGGGAACGCAAGCAAATGGAAGCTTGGCGACTGGTTCCTGGAGACTCCTGTGGCCAAAAGGAACCCCATGTTTGGGGTGGGTCCTTTTAACCACATACCCACATCTTTCTTGGTTCGAAAAGCGGGGACTCAGAGATTATCCTCTCAAACTGATCTGATTCGCGACTGAGAACCTAAGCATTGCCCTCCCACGAAACAGACACCATTGGCTACTTTCTACGATTCCAGCAAGAGCATGGGGGGAGGGTCTCAAAATGTGGAGCCCTTGGCATCCCTTTTAAGAAGCGCATTGAAGGCTGCAGGGTCGAAGGCCTTCAGCGCATGAAGCCAGACGGACTGCGAAGAGGGAGGTTCGCTCTTGTGTTTATCTTATTGTCCATTGCCTTATCGAGGCAAAATAAGCCAACACTATGCAGTATGTTTGGTCAATTTCTCTGTCAGATGTTGAAAAGGATGTAAGAGCAAGCAGCTGACCGTCTATGTTGGACCCCGAGTGTTCCACTGGAAGCCCGGCACAGCTAGGTATACATTGGCAGGTACTGTGTTGCGATCCGAGTTGCTTACGACTTTGCGGGTCAACCTCCAGTGCCCTTTGTTCCTTTTGAGGAGGTTTCCGCCGGGTGCCATTTCTAAAATTGCCACTGGTGGTCGGTTATTTTGTACCCAGAGGTTCAGGCCAGTAGGGGCTCAATTGGCCTTCAACGAAACATGACCAAGGCAAAATGCCCCGTACTCCCGGAGATAATATGGCTAGACGAAACTGGTTTATATAATGTATTTGTGTAGTTGATGATTTATTTGTGGGTGTTGGTGTTTGTTTAAACGTGTGTTTTGTTTGAAGCTTACACGAAGCACTTCATCCCCAATCCAATTGCTATTAAATGGGTTTTAAAAAGTCCAAAGTGGCAGTACTAAAATGTATGACGAACATGCGCTTCACGGGTTTAACCAGATTGCACAGGTTCAGTTTTTTGGATTTGGAGGGGAAGAAGAAGAAGAAGAAGACGAAGAAGAAGAAGAAGGGGCCACTGATGGTTTTTCTATCTATTTCGCTGTCGGAAAGTATGCGGCGTGTGATTGAACCTCCCGTCTTTCCAAGCAAGATATTCTTAGAGAAGGAATCCTTCAAAAAGTAGACTCGCTGGGCTGTGGTGATCAGCAAGACCTCTGGCACCTGAAGGCTGACCTGGAGATCCTTTCGGATAGGCTGGAGAACCAGGTGGTGAGGATGTTGAGGCCCTGCACGCACTCAGATGAAATGCCTCAAGATCGCCATCGTGAAGTCGAGGTGCATAGCAGCCGGCGCTTTGTCCTGCACATCAAGATGCGACGGCGCTTTGCGCTGTGCTCAAAATTAAAGCTTAGCATTAAACTTTCAATGGGTGGTTCACTTTTTAGAGGGGTAAAGGCCTTCTGTACTGTCAAGCTTGCGTGACTTGGTCAAATCTGGCAATTCTAAACGTAGACTAGGCAATGCTGACAAAACACAGGGAATCTGAGAGCAAGGCTTGGCAGCGCTAGATTTTTAAACAGCAATGTACAAGTAACTGCCGTACATCCAAAAGTGAGTCCTGGCAGTAATAGGCGATCCAACAGGAACCATGTATGGCATTTTCCTGCAGACAAGCTTAGACGGGACTGGTTTCTTAATTTCCAGATTGTGTAACCCGTTTATTATTATTATTATTATCATATTTTTGTTTCGCGCAATGGTCAGACCATTTTTTGTAGTTGGCCCCGACAATTTTCTGTTTGGCCTATCTGATTTGGAGATGGGGGCAACCGTGAAAAACGGTGAAAGGGAGCAGACCCCTCCCATGGGGCGTTTGCCCCGACCAACCTGGCAGTACGGGGAATGGTTGGTTCCTGAAGTATCCGGCCAGGCCTGCGGCGCAGCCGCTGCTGGCGCCCTTGCGCCAAGCAGCGCAGCAGGAAGTGGACAAGAGCGCTCCTTGGATGAGTCCCAGTTTGTCCAAGGGGGTTCTGCGTGTGAGCCACAATCAAAACCCGGGTAGATGAAGGCTAGTAAGGGACGATCCCAACCATAAATAGCTGCGGCCGCCTTCTTGGTTCTTTACGTGGTTCTGGGTGCACCATGTTTGCACCGGGTTTTGGTTATGACTCATGTCGTGGTGTTCAACATCACCATCTAGGGCGAGTTTAAGGTGTTGGCAGGGTCATCTTAAAAAGGAACAAAGGGGAGCGGGTGACGTACGTGGTTACGCAGTGCAGAAACAGCCGCCTTTTGATTCCCCTGGCTCATACCTTTCCCTTCAAAATCAGCCTCCACGTGTCTTGTTTCTAGCAGGAGGTGGGTTGTGTTGCATTTTCCCCAAGAAGCACGTTCGCTTGTCAGGTCCCCGTTGAAGTAATCCTTTTCAGGTCCCCGTTAAAGTGACCCGTCATTTTCCAAGGCTGCAACAACCTGCTTATTTCTTCCATGGAATGTGAAGAGGGATCCAACTTGTCACATGCAACACCTTCTCTTTAACCTCTTCTGGAGGGCACCCGAGCTTCCCCGATTTTAGTGGAGCCAACGTGTAAATTCCTCGACCAATGTCCCAAACCGACGGGGTCCAGAGAGAAGTGCCAGCGCTCCATCCGGCGAGCCCGAGAATTTAGCCCTTGCGCAAGCCTGCCCGCAAACGGGTCTTTCTTTTCTCGAGTTGTTTTTGGTGGTTGAACGGGAAATGAAAAGGAAAGCCGAAGCCCTTTTGGGGCCGGATCCTAACACGATGACACCCAAATGTCAGATACCGCTGAGTTGCACTTGTGGGGCACCACAGCCGCTTTTGGTGCATATAAGATAGGCTGGCGCTTGACCTACATTTCTCGCTTGCACCTGGCGTTTCAAAATATCACCCGTTTCCTGTCCTCATCCTTGCTGGCCATTTGAAGCCGCGTCGATCCGTCAGCTATGGCAGTCCTCTGTTCATTGTCACAAACCGCCCAATGCCTGAACGCCACAGCCCTCATGAATGAGAACCCAGGATCTCCACTTTTCGGAGACGTTTGCCGTACCTGCCGAGGAAAGACCCTGTTCTGCCAGGTTTATGAATGCCAAGGGTCGGAGCTGTCAGCTTTTCGCGCTGCCCAAAAGTGTGGCAACTGAAGTGCAACATCCTTTCGGTTGAAAGAGTGAGGTTTCTGCAGTAGTGCCCTTTCTCACCCATTTTTGGTTGGGAGGGTTCCCCTAGTAAAATAGACTACAGAAAAGGGGCACCCTTACTCTAACCTCTCGACCTAGAAGAGTGAGGTCGGCAATGTTCCAAGATTGATTGGACCTGTCACCGCGTGTTTACATGACCAGCTCTGGTCCCGGATTCTGAGACCATGTCTTCTCAAAGAGTGTGAGTGGGGTAGCATGAGTGTCTGGGAGGGCAACTTATGGACTGCCTTCTGAAACATGCTTCACATGATGGAACTTTCACTCAGTATGGGATCATGTTTTAAGCAAAAGCCTTTTGGTTTTGCTCCCCCCAAGCAACCCAAGCAACTCATTTTTGGGGCAACCCCCCGGATTCGATGGGTTCCTGCCTGGACCATATCCCCAAGCAACTCACTTGGGGCAAAAGCCGATGGGCCACCTGTGGTTTTGCTCCCGGAGAGTGCACCCCATAGGTCCTGGTGGTGGTGTCCAACTCCCTGGAGCAGTACGGCTGCTGGAGCCCCGAAACGAATCCACCGGACGGGATCTTCAGATGCGAATGTCTGGGCGGATCGTCCTTTGTTTGGGTTGGGGGGTGGATCAAACTGGTGGTTGTTTTGTTTGGTTTCTCTGTAAAACCACAAAAACAAGAGGGTTGCCATCAAAAAGACAAGTAAGGGAACCAGGACACCTGATTTGCTGTAATTTACGATGCGTTTGTGCTCGAGTGTGGCTGTTTTGCTTGATCAGCTTGAGCATCCACCGTACCTTTGCCCAGACCAGAAAATGCCCGATGTCTCTGTGGGTGTGTGGATTTGTTTTTTTTTTTTTGCGGGGGGTGCCCGTGCCTTCACTTCCCCCCGCCAGGCTTCATAGCTTCCGGGAGCCCCGAAGCCTTATGGTCTTGGCAAGCGCCCCTTTTAGGATTTGGACCCCCCAAAATGGTGGCATGGCTCCGGTTTCTGAAAAGAACACCACAAAAAAACAAAACAGCCGCTCTGAAGAAAGAGGAGCCACCCATCTAGCAGACCCCCAGGCCCAGACCCCCAGGCCCAGACCCCCAGACCCCCCTCTGCAGGCTTCGAGGCAGCCCTGGCGCAGCGGCTCCGGCGCGAGGCGCGCATGCGACGGGCGCTGACATGGAATAAGGAGCTCACACACAGGGAGCGAGTTGGAAGCATTCATGGTTGTCGTTGGGACACATGTTTTCCATTTTTGCCTGTTACGGTTTAGTGGTTGAAATCCACACTGAACTGCTGAAATTTAATCTTTTGCTCCCCTTCCAACGTCAACCAAGCATAGGTGTCCGTTTTGGTTGGTTTGGTAGAAAAATAAAGGGCGATTCCTGGTCGACCAGGTGGTTTATTCATCTACCAGGGCCATCTAATTTACCCTAAAAGGACACCTATGTTTGGAAGCCTATAAACCATCCAACTGGTGACTGGTGTTTCCTTTCAGAGGAATTAAACCACCCATTTTAGGGGTTTACTTGTTTTGACACAAGCACACACACACACAAACTTGCAAAGACACAGCACACAAACGCACAACAAGACGCACGCAAACTCACACGGACTCACGTTCAGGTCGGCTTGTCTACAACCCGGCGGATGTTAATGATGAAGAGTCCATACGAACAGGCAAGTAGCTAGATGGGTTGTGAGGGGATGAAGCATGCATCAATTGTAGAATCAGTTGCATAAGGTGCTTTTGTGTTGACTGTCTACCGATCTTTTGTTTCTTTGTTTTTAGCCCATATTCTGGGGTTACGCTTGCCCTGGGACCAAAGGCAACTAAAGAAAGGCTCTTACTCTGTTGGTAGAGGGAAACAAAAGGCCTGTTTGTCTCAAAGCCATATGAGTTATTGGACGGTAATAAGGGACAATCCCCGCCATAATCCACTTTCTCAATTCTTTACATGTATCTGGGTTCCTGAAAATAAAATGGTGGACCCCATTAGTTTTGGTTGATGCTTACATAGAGGGAAACCACAAGGAAACCCATTTTAGGAAATGGACACTCCCTCTAGCCCTTCTTGGCTAGGGCCCCCGGTAGTGCCCTTTTGCCCTTTTTTGGGGAGGGTTCCCCTACTAAAACAGACTACACAAAAAAGGAATACCCTTATTCTAACCTCTCTACTTTGCCACCCTTATTCTAACCTCTCAAATCTGGAGGACCTAGTTGGGGATTCGGGACTTGACCGCCCAGGTGTTGCGCCCCTGCGTGGCACGGCTCCGGTTTCCGGGCTCCGCCGCGGGCTCCGCCGCGGGCGCCGCGAGCCGCGGGGGGCCGCTGTCCGACACCGCGCCGGAGCCCAGCTGGGATCACCCGGGGTCATTGCACCGTCTCAGTGGTTCAAAGCGAATCGACCTGAAATGACCTTTTGGTTTTCCCGGTTTGGTCTATTTTTAGTAGGGGTCCTAAAAGGTTAACCTTTTATTGACGAGTCCTTTGGGCAAGTGAGCCGTACATCCAAAAGTGAGGAACCTGGCAGTAATACATGGTCGTTGGGAAACATTTTTCCCAGTTTTGAGCTTGTTGTGGTTTAGTGGTTGAAATCCAAATCCACTGAACTGCTAAAATTTGAGAATTTTTGATCCCCTTCCAACGTCAACCAAGGGGTGTATCCCCACTTCTGTGATACGAGGGAATCTCCCACCTACGGAGGGTTAGTCTTTGGGAAGACCTTTTTGTCGTATCACAGAAGTGGGTTCCGGGCATTTCCCACAGCCCTGCCTTTAAATGCCAACCAAAAGGGGATCCCAGTTACGTGCCATTTGCCAGCGCGCTTCACAAACCCCACACAGGAACTCGACTGTTTGGCCCTCAGAAAATGAGGGACCCCCTGCAGGATGGAACTTGAATCGATTTTGCATTTGATAACTACTACTTTGATACAACATTGAAAGCAACGTTGCTAACATTGAATTTTTATATGTCTGTGGGTCAAAACCACTGGCCAAATTTTGGGGTAGGTGCACCTCCCATTTTAGTCTATAGTGGGGATTGGGATGTTCACTGGGGGCTAACCGATTTGGATTTTGAAAAGCCCATGGCCACGGCTTTGCTGCCAGGGGCTTCACGAGCCATGGCTTGGGGAATAGAGCTCTTTGGGACCGGGTGTCTCTGGCTTCCGAAAATTTGCTCGAGCAAGCATTTGGGTGTGGCTCAAGTTACAGGAGGGGCAAACCGCAGGTTTTGGTCCATGTTTCCACTTACCAGGCTTCCATTTTGGTACCGGTTTTTTGAGCCACAGCCATTTGTGTGACAATGTCATTGCCGACCAGAATCGTTCAAGGGAGGTGTTCAAGCAAAACCGCCAATTGGTTCACCCACTATTTGGGTACGGCTTCTGTCGAGGGTACTGCTTGTTTGATGGTTTTGAAGGAACACCAAACGGAAAGTCCCACAATTTGGGAGGGGTCCGATTCCTTAAAAACCACGAACCACCCACTTTCACCTGGACACCAAACATGTTTTGGTGTTTTCCCTATTTTGAGGCAATCCCGTTTCATGTTTCAACTTTCTTCATTAAGCTGAAAACAAACTCCAACAGGCTTCTAGATTCCCGAACCTTTTTGTGATCATCCCAAGTTAATCACGCACGCACAGACGCGCAAACAAGCAGATAAACAGATACATTCGCAAACATTAGCCCATAACTACTCGACTGCTGTTGGGTTGGTTCTTTAGACTTTAATTTTTGTGGATTCCCCTCAACTATTTCCTTGTTTCACCAGCAAAAGGTTCTAGCTGGGGGATCTGCAGCGTAGCCCAGACTACTGTGCACTTCGGCGTCATAAACCTTGCCAGGTCAAGTCGGATATATTCTCGTTGGGAATGCAGCCTTCCAAACAGTTTCGAATGATTCGTCATGTCACTCAGATCCATTGGCAGGAGGAAGACTTGGCAAGATCGGTTCACGGCACCCCAAGTGTTCGGCGGTTTTATGTGTTCAACATGTTGTCACCTTTGCGCGCTGAAGGCGCGCAACTAAGACACTTCCTGAGTTGCAATGGTTCAGCGAGTCATTGACACTGGAAGACCCTTTTGAACCTTAACCGACATGAGACGTCTCCGCGACGCAGGGACGTATACATTTGGGCATCGGAACACCTTTCACAACCGTGGTTCCGGTTCAATTGGGCTCTTTCAGGGGTGGAAGATGATGTGAGTTTCAAGAGGGCAGCGTACTATACACTCTTCATTCAATTGGACCTGACTGGTGACGCCTTTGAAGCATGGAGCTACATCTTTGGATTCCAGCTGGGTGTGGTTTCTTTGGATTCCAATTTTGGGGATCATCTTGATTCGGACCCTCGTCAACGGGTTGGTTTTCCTCTTGATTTCCCTTTAAAGCTGCCAACTCAACAAGAGCCATCCAAAAACCTAAAAGCCACAAACAAGAAGGTGAACAAGAACCATCCAAAAACCTAAAAGCCGCAAACAAGAAGGTACCAACTCAAAAAAAAATCCACAAGGGCTTCCCTGTAAAGCCGCAACACAAAATGGTACAAACTCAACAAAAGGAGGCGCTGAATCTGATTTCGAGAGGGAGAGGTTTTTGGGGCTTCTGCGAAGCCGCCTCGCCTCCCTCGCCTCAGGTGCTGTCCGCGCAGAGCTCCCTGGGGGCGCTCTGCCCGGAGCTCTTCAAGCAGATGGCCTGGCAGGAGTCCTCGCGAGGCTTGGCTCGTTGGTTCGTTGGTTCGTGGCATTTTTTTTCGGAGCCACTCGGGGAAGAGTGGACTATAGTCAGTGGTTGGGTCTGGGCCATTTTAGCGGCAAACTGCAAAGTTCGGCCTTGTGCTTGCCAACTCAAGCAGGAAATGAGTGGAAGAGGTGACGGAGATGGGCATGGAATTGTAGAAGAACCGCGCTAGCCTGTTTGGCTTTGCGCTGGAGCAGCTGGGCGTAGACGAAATACGTCTTTCTGCCGCAGCAATGGATCCTTGTCAAGTCAACGGGGTACCCTTTTGTCTACGACTGATTTCTGGAAGGATTGAACAATTTGAAAGACTTTCGCACGAACTAGGTCCATTGCTACCTATTGTCTGATGTCCGCCCGGTGACGCATGCAGTACGGCTCAGACAAGATTGTCAATGGTGTTGCGCAGAGAACATGCTAGGGCAGTGTTCTTTCCATTAATCGCCACCTGCTGACCTTTGTGTGAGCCGTGTTTTCGCATCATGAGCTAGAACGTAGCACGACAATATGTGTTGATTCGCAGAGGCTTCCAGGATGGTCATGTTGAAATTGAAGATGCTTGGTTAAATATATGGTCCTACTATAATCCATTTGTAGACCAATTGTGATAGTTGAATCCACTTGTATATGCATGACTGTTAACATGTTCAGCAGCCTGGTTGAAATCCCCAACTTGGAGTAGTTGGGTTTCCTTTTGGTCGGTTTACACGGCCGCAAGGTTGACTTGCTTTTCTTGTTTGGTTGAGTTGGGAATGCCCAACTCGCCTTGTTGCTGTGGGGAGAGCCCTGGTTGGGTGCGAGGGAGTAAAAGCTCCGCATTCATGGAAGTCTAAGCCACACCAACTCGTGATGCGTCCACGTTTTTCTTCCAACCTCACTTCCTGAGTTCATGAACTTTAAACTTTTTGGGGTGACCATTTTAGTGGCAAATATAAAGTTTGGACTTTTTTTGGGCCATCCACTCAGCCAATGAGCAACAATCCGATGCGGTGTTTTGGTAGCCTTTATTTTTTCTGATGGGCTCCCCTTCAACCCAGGATTTCCCGCCGGAACTGCACCTCGATGCACTCCCATGGTACCCAAGTGTAAACGCGCAAATTCCGTGAGCCTTCAGGGGGTCCACGTCTTATTTTGGATTGTCTCAAACTGGAAACATGGGCTTCGTTTTTTGTTTTTTTTCCTTTTGGTGGTTTCCTTTAACAGGGCTCCTTAAAAGATCTCCATTTTGTAACCATGTGAAACATGTTGTGTTTTGAACACCAGAATAAAGTTGAAGACCACCATTTACAAGTTGCAATGTTTTTTGGTGTTTTTCATGTAAGGATCCCTGTTTCTGGGGGAATACATGGGGAAAAACAAAAAAACAGAATTGCTTGTTGGTAATTACAGGAATCATCATCCCAGGCGTTGTAAGGATCCCTGTTTTTTAGCAACTTTTCAGGGGCACCCTTCCACCACAAATTTGCCGCTCCAAGCTGGCGCCTCTCGCGATCCGAGCGGCGGATCGGTTTGCGAGGCCGGCTGTTTGCCCGGCGCCTACACCTGGAGCAAGGCGTCGGCGCATCGGCGCATCGGCGCATCGGCGCATCGGATCGGGGTCCACGGGTTGGGGTATGGGAAAAGTCCCTTTGAGCTCCAGTGATGCCTTGGTTGGCTTTTTTGGGGAGGGGTATTGCGGGACTTCCGGCTGGGTTTTTTTGGGGGGAGGGGTATTTTACCCCGAGATGGGCTGCCAGGAGAGCTGTGGTCCTTGGTTCCCTTCCCCCAGACCATCGCCAGACTTGTCTCAGTGCCCGGGATCTCGTTTCATGCTGTTTCTCAGTTGCCCAAAGCGAATCGACCTTTTAACCTTTTGGTTTTCCAGTTTTGGCAACCATTTTTAGTCATGGCTCCAAAAGGTTAACCTTTTATTTCTGGGTCCTTTGGGCAAGTGAGGTTTGACACGTTGAGGTTTAATACATGTGGACTGGTGAGGCACAATCAAAACCCGGGTAGATGAAGGGTAGGAAGGGGCAGTCCCAGCCGGAAATAGTTGCGGCCGCCTTTCTACTTCTTTACATGGTTCTGGGTTCACCATTTTTGTACCAGGTTTTTTTGATTGTGACTCAGGTGAGCCTAGATTTGTGCGGGGCCAACGCTGCGGTGGTTTGGTTCGGGGTAAATGCGAGCGATCACTTCAGGTTTGGATTGTGTCCGCATTCGAATGTTGGGACCACTTGCAGCATATGGCTGTGGGTCAAAACCAATGGTACAATTTTTAGCTAGGTGCACCACCCAATTTAGTCTTTTTGAGTGGGGATTGGGATGGGGTACGGGATTTTGACTCATGGCCATATGATCTTAGTCGTTCGTCGGGGCTTGGTTTGGTTTTAGGCTGTCCAGCCTTTCATTGACTCGCTTCCGATGGAGTGGCAAAACCACAAGTCCGATGGACCGCGGGGAGTGAGTTGCTGGTTGGGGGGAGGTGCCAGCACCGAAACGGTGAAACCCCCAAAATTCTCGCCGAAGGGCCTGCTGAAGGGCGGTTTCTCCATGCTCAAACTTCCAAACGGTTTGTCTTGACCTTCCTGGCGTCCCTGGGGTTTGGCCACCAAAAACCGGGGAGTGGGTTAGTAAACAGAGTCCCCGTCAGGGAATGGGTTAGTAAACAGAGTCCCCGTCAGGGAATGCTCCCCAACATGCGCCAAAATGGCGCAACGGTTTTCCTTGTGGTTTCCCTTCAACCAACAAAGGGGGTGCCCTAAAACAAAGGTGTTCCTTTTGGTTTCCCCTTTAACAACCAAAAAAAAGGGGCTGCCCAAAAAACAAACGCGGACTCGTTTGGCCATGAAAGGAAAGCTTACATTTGCCCCAGGCACCCCCTCGCCGGAGCGGTGGAGTTTGTCGGCCAAGTCCATTCCAGCCTTCGCCCGGGGTCTCGGCGAGCTTGGGGTTGGCCTGGTGGGTTTGTGTCACTCTGGGCGCTAAGTTTGTAGCCCCAACCCCTAGTCTTCCCCCAGAATTCGTTCCCCTTTTTTTATTGTTTTCTTTCTTTTTGTGGGGTTCCCCACTAACCAGGCAAAAAAGAACGGTTGGGGTCCTAACTCCAGTCTCCAGTTCACCCCATGTGGTATAGGGTCACTCATCATTTAGCCAACCCCCTGGCCAGACGACACTCCCTGGGCTTTCTACGTACCTCTTGGGAAGACCAAATGTTGCGGCCAATCCACTCAGTTGCACAGATGTGCAAAGTCTCACTGAGTTTCTGCAGGTTAAACCTGGTGGCTCCCAGCAAATCGTCGGGTTCGACTTAGCTTTTTGGGCCTCCCTTTCTACCTTTCTACCTGGAAAGCGTCATAATCTATTGAAAGGCGCATCTATCTTTAGGATGTTGCTTGTTTGAAAGGGACGTGTTGTTTTCAGTTGGGTGGCAATGGCTGATTCCCTCAGGCGGCGGATCCCCTCAAAAGCGCATTTGTGCCAAGAGGCTATGAAATCCTTCGGTTCCCCTTTCTCGGCTCTGTAAGCCTACCAACAAGTTACATTCCAAAACCAAAAAAGAAAACGCGTTGGTAAGTTTGGTTCCCACTTTCGGGATACTCTCCTGAGAGCCCGAAAAACCGAAAAAACGGCTTTGGGCCTCGTTTTCCCAAGCTCCCTTTTGGTGACTTGGGGTTCAACTTTCGATGCCAAGCCGAGGTCAGCAGCCACTTGGACTCCGCGATAACTTCCACTCGGGGCCGACTGGTGGGTCACAGGACTGGCCTCGCCGCCCATCGGTTTCGTTTTTTTTTGGGGGGGGGCTCCAAGAACCTGTCCGTTTTTTTTTTGGTTTTTGACAGGTGTTTCGCGGTTATATGTTTGTTTCGCCGGCGAAAGTTAAACTCACTTTTCGCAGGGGAGCAGGCTTCGCAACCGAGTAATGTTTGAACCATTTGAAGCCCTTTCAGCAAAAGGAAGCACGGCTTACAGAGCTCACTTCCGGAGTTCCGGCAACGGACTTTACTGGGTTTTTGGGGTCGGCTGGACCAGTGGCGAGTGGCAAACAACCAGTTTGGGTACTTTTGTTGGCCAACCCACTTACGCCTTGTTTAAAGGGAATCGATGTCCCTACCGGAAGTATGCTGTTTCAGAAGATGATTGAATTAGTTGTCAAACATGTTCATAGTTTTAGGGGACGAAAAAGCACGTTGAAGATGAACAGCGGTCAATGGACCTCAGAGAGATTCAGCTGATTCATGTGGCTGTGGTTGTCAAAACCAATGGGATCCCATTTTGGTTGGTAGGTGAATTCACCACCCATTTTTGAACCTATTTTAGCGGGGATTGGGATGTTCACTGGGGGTACAACTTGCATTTTGACCCATGGCCATCTGAACAGTTTCGATTCTGAAGCCGGGCTTGCTTAAGTGCGAGGCCAGACAACAGGCTGGAACATAGCCTAGGTGTTTCTGTGCCCCTTTGCCCTTTTTTGGGGGAGGGTTCCCCTACTAAAATAGACTACAGAAAAAAAAAGCTAACCTCTCTATAAAGAACCTAGATGTTGAATGTTACGCCGGTTGGTGCTGGATCATTTTTCCTCCAGGACCGTAGATGACGAAACCTTCTTGCCATCCGTGCTGGCGGACCATGACCGATCCCAGCATGCCGAAAGACAGGCGCGACGGATGCCATAGGGAAAGCATTGACTGAGCCCTGAGCGGATGGATTTGTATGGGACATGCACTTGGCATGGAATCAGCATACCACGCTGCGGCCAATCATTGAGATTGCTGTGATTGTATCATTTGAGCCACAATCAAAGCCCGGGTAGATGAAGGTTAGTAAGGGGCAGTCCCAGCGCCTTCTTAATTCTTTACATGGTTCTGGGTAGACCATGTTAATACCAGGTTTTGATTGTGGCTCATTTGTGTTGATTGAAGTGGGCCAGGCTCCCTTTCGCTGTGGCTATTCCGCAAATTTTAGGAGGTGTTCATCGATGTATGTGTGAGGGTTCCCTCTTCAGGTTGGTTTGAAGCAAGAACCAAAGGGGACACACCTTGCTTTGGTTTGCTATGCCCCTGTCGTGTTGATGTACTATATCATTTGCTCCAAGTGGTTCTGTGCCTGTTCAATGTGATTCTCAATGCAGCTTTGCCTTAAAGTTGTGATTCTCAATGTTCAAGGCACCAATGATTGAATAGAACAAAGCACCCATGTTCAAACTTAGTAAAGGAAGTATGATGATCACGAGGCATGCCCTGAAGAAGGGTCATGGGATGTTTTTGGCGGGGATCCAATGTTGTGTGATTGAAAAGTTCTCAATTGCTCACCTCCGGACTCCCCGACTTTCTCATTTGCAACAAACAAATCATTTGTCGAACCTGAGGCCTACGGTGGAAGTTCCTGAAGGCCTTTGTGAAATCCAATGGGTCGGATTGATCAATCTGGAGTCTGCTGCCTTTCCCGCCCCTCAATAGCCGCCCAGCTTCAACCCTTGCTGTCCTCACCTCCTGCCAAAAGTCTAACTTTCAATTCGGAAGCCCAACCACCTTTCTCCAACTAAAAACCCAAAAACCCGACTCCACAGCAAAATTAACATGCCCTAAAAAAGGGGTCCGAAAGAGGAGATTCCGATCCTACAAATGGGCATTTGTTTTGTTGGGTTCCTTCCGTTCATTTGCAGGGTGTATTTTTGAGTAGTCGCCGGGAGATTAGTTGATCGAGCTTGTTACGTTGGCCCTCGGCGACCCGACATACGTGCTTCCAGAAACATTGGGTCTGGTCTCTGTGTTGGGATCCTGAATTTGGCATGGTGAGTTGAACACATGTCTTCCTCCAATAGATGCACGCTATGATTAATTCTGCTTGTTCAGACCCAGAATCTCTCAACCCCCGCCCCACTCCTTGGAACGTTTTTCCAGACCTCCAATCTTCCAACACCCTCATATTTTTCGGGGAAGGGAGTAGTCAGGGCAGTCTCAGAGGCACCTTCGGCAAGAACACGGGCGACAACTTTTGGGGCTCGTTCTGAGGCGCTGCTGTCTTTGGTGGAAGAGGCCTTGGATGAAGGTCTGGATCCTGCAGGAGCCACGGTCGAAAGGTCATTTCTTCGAGACTAGGTGAAGCCACTGGGAAGGTCATATCCGTGGCCCTTAATGATTTCAAGTATAGCCACCAACAGGCACTAGTGATAGTGGTTGCTCTGGCTCCCCTCTGCAATATCTCCAAGTCGGCATATGAAAATGGCTCCAAAGCCATGCGTTTTCTTTGGTCTCCGTGGGTTTCTGTGGGTTTCCGTGGGTTTCCGTTGGTTTCCGTGGGTCTCCGTGGGTTTCCGTGGGTTTCCGTGGGTCTCCGTGGGTTTCCGTGGGTTTCCGTTGGCTTCCGTGGGTTTCCGTGGGTCTCCGTGGGTTTCCGTGGGTCTCCGTGGGTTTCCGTGGGTTTCCGTGGGTTTCCGGTGGGTTTCCGTGGGGGTTGGTTGGTCCGTGGGTCTCCGTGGGTTTCCGTGGGTCTCCGTGGGTTTTCGTGGGTTTCCGTGGGTTTCCGTGGGTTTCCGTGGGTTTCCGTGGGTTTCCGTGGCGGGCCCCGTGGGTTTCCGTGGGTTTCCGTGGGTTTCCGTGGGTCTCCGTGGGTTTCCGTGGGTTTCCGTTGGTTTCCGTTGGCTTCCGTGGGTTTCCGTTGGCTTCCGTGGGTTTCCGTTGCATGTTTCGGCCCAACTGTCTACCCCGATGGAGTCTTTTGAGCCATGTTTTTTGCCTTCCGGGCCAGCAGCGAAGGCCTTGCCATACTTGGAGGTTTCGGCAAACGTCAGGTGGGCCATGACCATGGTTGCTTTACGGCGAATTGGGTTGGATCTTTTGACTTTAACCTTCTGAGTTTCTATCGAACCCACAAGAAGTGCATCTTTTTGCAGAGGGGTCGTTGGAGCATGTTGGAGCAACCAAGGTAGGTAGATTATAACCGTGGTAAGTGGTGTAACTGGGATGATCCCCCCCTTAGAACCATCTCAGTTGCCCAAAGCCGACCTCTTAACCTTTTGGTTTTGCAGTTTTGGTCCATTTTTAGTCATGGCTCCAAAAGGTTAACCCTTTATTTCTGGGTCCTTTGGGCAAGTGAGCCATGGTTAGAACCTAGCAGGCGTTGGTACCCAAGTATCAGCGGGAGCTTTATGGGGATGTTGACCAATTCACGCAGGAGGCGGAATCTTAAAAAGGCTGCCCACTTTTGTTTCACTTGACGTGTTTCCCTAAATCAACTTATCCCTTACAGGGAGCCACCGCTAGTTTGCCGGGACCGGAAAAAGCACAGGATGTTTTTGTTCAATCAACAGGACTTCAAGCAACATTGAAACTGTTTCTTCTTTCTTTCTTTTTTGCGGGGTTGTGTGAGGCGTATAGGGTTGCTCAAAAGGCGATGCCTTAAAAGACCTTTTTGTGTAACCCTGTTCAAAGGGAAAGGGCGTGGCAGCCCAACAATGAGCCCTTTGATTTGGACAACCCTCGAACCGGCGGGTTCCATTTGCTGAACCGGCGCCGTCTATTGTTCCAAACGTTCATCTCTGGATGGACAAAATCCTGCACCAGCTAAGAGACCCTGGTTTCGGATGATTCCCCAACGTAAATACCAATATATATATATATATGGTTTGTTGGTCGTTTGCAAGTGGTTCGAACGGATTTCGTCACGTCCATCCAAAGTATCTTCCCCAGAATCAGCTCTCTTTTTTTTGGGGGGGTCCCAATGTTTTCCACTAACCAGGCAAACAAGATGAAAACAAATGCTGGGGTCCTAATTCCAGCCTAGGTATGAAGAAGAGTGTCTTTCTTTAAGTCGGGCGTCAGGACTGTCGCCTGCCGGCGCTGTGCACTTGCACCCAGGGGGGAAGAGGCAAAAGTGAGGGCCCCGAGTTTTTGTTTTGTCCTAGGTTTCGCGCGGCCGTTTTGCTGCGGGGGTTTTGGCTCGGCCGGTCTGTCTCCCAGTCCGTCGGTCGCCCCGGTCGGTCGGTCGGTCGGACGGTCGGTGGATTCGTTGGTCGGTCAGTCAGTCCCTAAATCAGCCTTAAGGCAACCCCAAACCAGCCCTAAACCAACCCTGAACCACCCTTAACCAACCCTAAACCAACTTAAACCAACCCTAAATCAACCCTAAACCAGGTTTAAACCAGCCCTAGACTACCCTAAGCAAACCCTACACCAACCCTAAGCCAACCCTAAACCAACCCTAAACCAACCCTAAAACAGCCCTAAACCACCCTAAGCCAACCCTAAACCACCCTAAGCCAACCCCAAACCAGCCCTACAGCAGCTAAACCGCCCTAAACCAACCCCAACCGACCCTAAACCAACCCCAAGCCTACACCAGCCCTGAACCACCCTAAAACAACCCAAACCAGTCCTAAACCAACTTAGATCAACCCTAAACCAGCCCTAAACCACCCTAAGCCAACCCTTAACCAGCCCTAAACTCCCTAAACCAACCGTAAACCACTCTCAACCCTAAACCACCCTAAACCCACTTTAAACCAACCTAACCAACCCCAAACCAGCCCTACAATAGCCCTAAACCAACCCTGTGTCTTTGAACAAGTGAACCCTCTGCGGACGTTGCTGCGTTTCGGAAACCCGCTTCTTCGAAAAGGTAAACCCTTTGCAGCTTTTCTTGGTGCGGACCACCGCGCCGAACCTAGGAAAGAAAAGGCCGCGCCGAACCTAGGAGGGAAAAACAAAAACAAAACTTCCGCCCGGGAGTGGAAGAATCGCTCGCTTGGCCTTTTGCGCTTACAACTAAAACTGGCCGCCTCTCCCCAGCATTGAGCGACTGTAACTCGCAAAGTAGCTGTCCGAAGCTGATTCATTGGCTAAAATATGGTCGCCTCCGCGAAATCTCTTTTTAACTCGAACAGGTACGTAGTTTTTGCAGCTGGCCCTTTGCTGAATTGTATATGTGGGAAGTGTTGAAATTGCGAGCTCCGAGCTCCAAATGGGTGGGTGGGCCAGTGGGGCCCAGTCAGGTGGATTGACACAACTTGCAAAGCGGACTTCCCTTTTGGCCTTTACCCTAAATGGCTGTGGCTCGAAAAAGTGGTACCAAAATGGCACCTTGGTAAATGGAACCAAAGGCTAAAACACGCGTAACCCCAGCTCTTTAATTTTGAGCCATACCCAAATGGCTCAAGCTTTTACCTTCTTGGGACGCAAGGATACCTTTTGGGAGGGTGGGCGGGCGGGCACAGGCGTCTTGAGTGTACCCGTGTCGGACTGGTTCAAATTGAAAGGGAAAGCAAAAGGACAATCGCCGGGCAGCTGGTCAAAGTGGCTCGCAATTGCCAGTTGAACCTTCACAAACCCTTGCAAGTCGGGTTCATCGCCATTCAGCAAAGAGAACCACCCCAAGACCATCTAAGTTTCTCTTGGACACGTGTTTTGGAAGGGAAACCAAAGGTTTACCACAAGTTTCGGGGGAAGTTGCCGCGGTCCGCACCCGTCAAAACGATTTGTTTGGGCACCCGTCTTGGGATGCATTCCTTTTCGAGCATGGCTCCAAAAACAGCAGCCCCGTCAAAGCAGCCCCCCAAACTGGCTTCGACTTGGGAGGCATCAGAAAACCTCACTTCCCCGACCTCCCTGGAAATTGATCAATTTTCCTGGCCCCAAGAAGGAGCGGGAAAAAAATCTCCCATTCAGTGGGAGAGAAATTGTCCCATGTCAAGGACTTTTGGATCACTCTAGGGGTGGATTCCAACCATTATGTTCAACCATCGTTCTTTCCCAAAAACCGGATCCGTTTTGCCTGGGTTTCAAAGGAGGTTTTCTAGAAAGATCCGGATCCCTGGGTTCACAATGGAAATGGAAGGTACCCCTAGAATCACCATTTTGGGGTAGATAATTCACTACCCATTTTTCAGTCTATTTTAGTGGGGATTGGGAGCTTCACTGGGAGTACGATTTGGGTTTTTGACCCGTGGCCATGTCAAGTTGACTTGATCACAGGTACATCCCTAGAAAACTCTATTGCCCAGTGCCAATTCCTTTTTCAAAACTTTTTTTGGGTGCCCTTTTTTTTCCCACTTTTTTTGGGACAAAGGAAGGTCCTTTTAGAATCACAGGTACATCAGCGCGTACCCCTGCATCTCCTGCACCGCGGTCTTCTTTCAGCTCAGCACGGCCTGGCCCAGCCACTCGCAGCATGCATGGGGTGGTCTTCCCCCGAGCCTCGAGGGATGCCTCGTCTTTTTTTTGTTCTTCTTTTTTTTTTCCGGTTTTCACAACCCCCAAAATGGGGCTTTGAGTGTCTCATGCGGTTTCCCTGCGAAAAGCCAACCAGAAAGGGTACCCACAACAAAAGGCACAGCCCAAGACGAAGTTTGCGTCTTGCGTGCTTCGACGTCCCATTTCAGTAAAATGAAGACAAGAGCTTGGGATTTGGGAGCCCCTGGCATCAAGAAGATCAGCAGCTGTACCAAAAACGGAATGAGGGGAAGGCGATCATCTTCTATTTGTAGCTCCGCTGCTGTTTCTTAGCCTGTGGACACTAGCATCCATGTTGCTTGACTGAAAGGGTTTTCCACTAAACCTCACAAAAAAAATGAACTTTTTGCAGAGGGGTCAACGTCAACCAAGGCCATATTTTCTGGGTGAGCCGCTTTTGCATTTCGAAAGACGAAGCCCAGGCGTTCGCCTGCGGGTGGCGTTCGATAGCTGGGAGGAGACCAAGCGGTGGACAGGCCCGATTTGTTCAGGAAGCGAAGGGACTCCCATGTCTTCCATGTTGGTTTTCCTCAGTTGTTCAGTAGCTCCCTTTTACATTTTTTTTTCCGGTGGCTGCCCCACTAAAATGGTCCAAGCCCCAAAAAGGGTTCCCTTTTTTCCAGGGTCACTGAACAACTGAGTTTCTGGTGGGTCCCATTTAAGTCATGCCCACTTTCAGGTTTCCGAGACGTCCCTTCTTGGAACCTCCAAAGTGGCTGGCGGTTTTTCGTGAAGACGCACCAGTAAATTCTCATCCACCCAGTAAATGTTCATCCACTTTTCGCAGGGGTTTTCCCAGCGGCCCATGTTTTTGAGCATGTGCACTGGAGGTTTTGAGCGTGAGAATTGGTTGGTAGTTTTTTTTGAGCTCGAGGGAGGTTTCAGGTCCCCAGTTTCCCAGTTGCCCAGTGGATTCCGCTTTTGTTCACTTTTTTTTGTTGGGAGGGGTTCCGATTTCTTTAAAGCCAACCAACCAAGAAAGGATGCCGATTCTTTTTTGCCGTGGAAATCCACTGGGCATCTGAGGTTTTACTGTTGTCTTTCCCAGCAGAAGTTTGATGCTCATGAAAGTCGAGAGCTTGGATTTTTTTCGGATTAGAGGTGCCCCTTTGACCCATTGTTTTCGCGAACTCCCCTGGGATCCGTACGTGATGAATCCAAAGTGGGCCTGGACTTGTGGAGGTTCCTCAGTTGCCCAAAGCGAATCAAGCGGGAAAACAACCCGAAAACCCCGAGGATCCGGTTATAGGCCCGGTCGAAGAGGCTCTCTTCTGTAGTTTCAAGAGGTGTTGCACAGACATTCTAGGTCCCCCTCAGTGGTGCCCTTTCTCACCTTTGTTTGGGGGAGGGTTCCCCTACTAAAATAGACTACAGAAGAAAAAAGGGTACCCTTATTCCAACCTCTCTACTGGAGGACCTAGCGCATGACTTAAATGGCCAGCAAACTGCGAGGAATGAAGACTGGCCCAGACCGACAAGACAGACCCCATTGTGTTTCAGAAGAAAGTCTCGCCAAGTTGGGGATCGAGGTCCAATACAGCTAGATGTCCATAGCTTTTTCAGAAACAGTGGACCGCCAGTGGTTGGTTTCCTTTTGGTTTTCCTTTAAAAGCCCCCTAATTTCATACATATCTCCTGGCACAAGCCTTGCTTCCAACATGTGCAGGCCTAGGCAAGGTCTCCAGCTAGGGAATGTACAGGCCTGGCCAGGGCTGCCGACCTTCCCAGGCCCTGTGAAGGCCTGCTACCGTTTCAAGGCCTGCCAGGGTGTGGCGCCAAGCGCCGGCGTATCTCAATCAGCCTCTGCATCTTCTCTCCAAGTGGCGCCTCACATTGTTTGCATCTTGCTCTAACACGCGACTTCCAGCGCGACAAGTACTGCGACGTAGCCGTTGCATCCCAAGATGCGCCGGCGCGCAACACCGGCGCGAACTTGCTGTGCGCGACTCTTCCTTCCCCTAGATATGCTCAGGTACTTTCCTTCCAGCGTGCTTTTTTTTTAGCAGCGTGCTAGCTTCACGCTCGTCCCCGGCCTTGCTTGTTTCGAGCGTTCTCCATTGCTTTTTGCGATGTTCTTTTCGGCCTGCCTCCGCCTGCGTTGGCCTCTCCTAGGCCTACCGACCCTCTTCGCATAGGTCTCTTGGCCTCTCCAACCCCGTCGCATAGCCCTCTTCTGAGCCAGGAGCCTTGTGTCTGTGGCCTTGCAACTCTGGCCTTGTCCCTGACCTACGGGGCTTTGGCCTACCCTGGGCCCTAGGCCTACGCATCCCTCTGCCTACTCCCTCTCATAGGCCTATCGACCCCCTTGCCTGGACCCTGCCACAGGCCTATGCATAGCCTTCCCCTCAAAAGATTTGTGCCCTATTTTTGGGAAACACATTTCATGCTTTATGCTTGCCCACCTGATTTGAGTTGCTTTTTACTCCTTGACATGTACCTCTTTCCCCCTTTGGCGAGTGGTTGCTGGCTTTGCGACACTGCCACATGCAGGGCTTCAATGTGATTCAGATCATCAGCCTCCCGCTTCTAACTTTTGACAAAATAACACGATTGGACCCACGCACGGTGTCTTTAGCTTGAATGTTTTCGTGGCGAACTTGCCCGCAGTTCATCGCGAAGACGGCTGCGAGCACACCTGAGATGCGGAGCCAGAACTTATGGCAGTGCGACCGGGAGGGAGAAGGTGGGGACCACTAGGGTAGCCTAGGGTTCTTTAGATGAAAGGTTCACAAGACTTTGCAAACTGAGCAGTTGACTGGACAAACAGACGTTTTTCTGAGCTCGGCAGCCCAGTGAAAACCGGGAACGTGCAAAGAGCCAACTTATGCTTGAAACACTGACGGCACTTGCTGGTGGCGGACCAGCCCCGTGTAAGGCAAGCGGATGGGGATCAGAGGACAGCCCAGTTTTGTTTGTTTGGTTTGGTCCAGCTGGCCATGGGTCATAACCTATGGCTCCATTTTGGGCCGGATGAACACGCAGTAGTGCCCTTTCTCACCTTTTTTTTGGGTGGGAGGGAATACCCCTACTAAAATCGACGACCGAAAAAGTGGGTACCGACCTAGTCTAATCTCCTTACTGGACCTAGGTTTGGTTTGGTCCAGCTTATCTCCAGGCCTTCACTCCGAGCCAACTTGTGACCAGCTCTGTCCGCATGCCGAGCTGGGCGACGGACCGAGCAGCAGTGGCGAGAAAAGCAGAGAGCCACAACCGGGCTCTGGGCAACCGGGTAGATGAGGCTATAGGGGACCATGCCAAGCTGAAAGGGTTGCGGCAAAAGCCGGCAGGTTGATTCTTGACCGTGTTTTGTTTCTTCTTCTTTTTCTCCCAGACTTGATCCAGATTTCCAGACAGTTTGCATTTGATGTCCATGGGGCTTGAAAGCATGGTGACCCCTTTAGAGCAACCCCCTTTTGTAAGCGGCACGATATGTCAAGAATGGAAGTGCTGAACGTACCACCTAATCATGGTTGTCGTTGGGAAACATTTTACATTTTTGCTTGTTGCGGTTTAGTGGGAAATCCCCACTGAACTGCTAAAATTTTAATTTGTGCTCCCCTTCCAACGTCAACCAAGTAATAAGGGCTGCCAGAAGTTCGTATTGGTTTAGCTTTCAGTCCGAGGCGCAGTGGTTTTTTGGGATTGGGCCCTGAACGGACGAGAAATCAAGGAAATGCCAAGAGCTGCATTTGTACAAGTCCAAAAAAACAACTTTGGGAGTGTAGGCACAAACCATTCCTATTGCTTTGTCCTTAACTAAGAGAGCTTAATGAGGAGCATTTAACAGAACCCCCACCGTTTTGTGGAGGTTTTGTTTCTGGACATTTCAAGTTGCACCTTCCATGTTTTCCCTGCAAGTTGGGCCTCCCAAATTCCAACGGATTTCCTTTTTGTTGTGAACTAAACAACACACTGGCATCGAGATAGAGGTTGGATTCGAGAGAGAGATCGTGCCTCTCGGGGTAACTTCCCCATTCTTTCCAGGGATCCTTCTTTCTAGAAAACCATTCCGTTTGCTTAGGAATATGTGTTAATTTACCACTGCTGGATTTTGTTTATTTTATTTTTTCCAGGGGGCGAAAACACAAATGGAGGCAATTGCATTTGGTTGGGCAACGGGCAACGACTTTTGTTGGGAGCCCAAGTAGGCCTGAACACTTGTGATGTTTCAAGGTGGGAATCTGACACCCGACCTGGGAATATGTTTGGTTTCCGTACGTGGGATGTTGGACATAGGAAAACGGTTTGGGGGTCCCGGTATTTCTCAGGTTAACATTTCCCCTTAAAGAAAGCTCACTTGAACTTGGCCCAAAGGATGATGTCAAATACCATGGAATGGGCCGAGCCAAGCGTCAATCTATCAAAGCGCCAGGAAGCGAATGGTCTGGAGACGATGAGCGCCCCAGCAGCGGCTCTAATGGCGAGCCAAGTTGCTGAGTTGGAGGCGGGGGGGGGGTGCTTCAGGGCGGAGGTGGGGCGCGGTTTTGGTGGAGCGGTTTGGCGGGTTTTAGCATTGAACCGGGAAAATACGGCATGAGGGCCTCATAAGCGAAATCGTTTGTATACGGCCAACTAAGTTGGGGAGGGGGAGTGGTTGGGGTGGGGGTAACCTGAATCCTCCTTTTTGTAATCTCTTTTTTTAATGCATGAGTTTGGGCGTTTGCTGGGTCCCTTGCTGCTTTGCCCCTGGCAGCAGCCGCTTCAAGCGAGCGGAACCAAATCAGGGGACCCAAGGGGCCTGACACACAGGTCCTGGCTTGCCAGACATGACAATCATCAGCTAGGTCCCCCAGTAGTGCCCGTTCTCTCCCCTATTTTGGGAGGAGGGTTCCCCTACTAAAACAGACTACAGAAAAAAGTTGGTACCCTTGTTCTAACCTCTCAAATCTGGAGGACCTAGTCAGGGAACCCTGAGTTGGTGGTTTGGATGCATGGTTTGGGGATTTGACCCCCTGGTTGTTGTGGAGGGTAGATGGGAAACCCATCCACCCAGCCACCCAGCCACCAATCCAAACCACCAATTAGAGAGAAGTTGAATTCATGTGTATCATCCTTATTTAGGGTCGCGACAGTAAAAGCCACTTTCGGTCAATGCCATTCTGATAAATAGGAGTTCTGTAGGGAGCATGGAATGCGCCATGAGTTGCCTTGGTTTGCGGATGCTTAGCTTGCAATAGATTGGAATAGTCCGGAAATCACCCGCATCATTGATGTTAGACGAAGGTGGGATATTCCCTTTGGAATTTCGAGCAATGATTTCAACTAATAGGCAGTATCAGTCATGCCCATAAGGCAACAGTGCTTGTCTCATGGTAAGCTCACCTGAGAGAAACTGAAGCTCACCATGATTGAGGTGTACTTGGGTGCGGACCCTTTTGTCAGATGCTTTTGTTGACTGTGCCGCGCACTGATTTCGCTCTCATATTGCATCTAGGTCCCCAGTAATAGTGCCCTTTCTCACCCTTTTTTTGGGGAGGGTTCCCCTACTAAAATAGACTACAGAAAAAAAGGGTACCCTTATTCTAACCTCTCTACTGGAGGACCTAGACAAGGTCCTCTAAATTCCCACACCTGTTGGTATTTGACATCATCCTTTGGGCCAACCTGAAGTGAGTGGTCTTGAAGTGGGGCGATGTTAAAAAGGCCATGGTTCAACACCAATGGTACCACTTTGGGGTAGATGCACCACCCATTTTAGTCTATTCTAGTGGTTGGATTGGGACGTTCACTGGGGGAACGGGCTTTTGACCCATGGCCCAACGAGAAATCTAGGGAACCCCGTAGTACATGGCGTGGGCCAAAGCGCCAAGCGCACCGAGCGAGGCAAAGCTGGCAGAGGCCGAGAAGCGAGCAGCCGCGCAGGCGAGCGCGTGCCTGCGAGCGCGTGCCTGCGAGCGTGTGCCTGCGAGCGCGTGCCTGCGAGCGCGTGCCTGCGCGGCCGGGACAGGGAGGTGCCTGGTCAGACTGGGCTAGTCTTAAATGGGACCTGGTCTGGGACGGTTTGAGAAGGGAACCAAAAAGGATATCTTGTTTATCTGGTCCCCCGCGGTTTAGGAGCTATCCAAATAACGACTCACTTCCTGAGTTCATGAACTTTAATCTTTTCGGGAAGACCATTTTAGTGGCAAATATAAAGTTTGGACTTTTTTTGGGTCATCCCCTCAGCCAATGAGTTTAGGAGCTATCCAAATAACGAGGACTACAATGGACTCATGGATTGGTTGCTCCCCTCACTCCCTGAGTTCCTGGACCTCATCTAGGTCCCCAGCGAGGCTTTTGCCCGCTCTTCCACCCCTTCTTTGGTTGGGAGAGGGAGGGTTCCCCTACTCAAATAGACTACAGAAAAAAGTGGGTACCAACTTATTCTAACCACTCAAATCTGGAGGGCCTAGTTCTTCTTCTTGGGAAAACCCAATTTTTCTATCCAGGCGTTTTCCCTCAAGAAAAATAAACTACTGGGCTTAAGTCGAGATGAAAGCCTTTGCTGAGTTCCTGGACTTGACTTCCTTTCTGGGAAGTCCATTTGGCTGTGGTTGTCAAAACCGTTTCGGGATCCCATGTTGGTTGGTAGGTGCACCACCCATTTTAGAACCGATTTTAGTGGGGATTGGGATGTTCACTGGTTGTACGGAGTTTTGACCAATAGCCATTTTAGTATTTTAAATCACAAAGTTTGGACTCCGTTTGGCCAATCCGCTCAGGAAGTGAGGTAAGGACCATCAACCCCATGAAAGCACTTTGTGGGTTCCGGACATTTCCCGATGCAAACACATATCCCTTTGAAGGAGATGTCTAGCCAAATGGGGGGACGCACAGAAAGCCCTCCACTAGAAACAGTTGCCCGGGTGAGCACATTTGCTGACCCAACTTGGGAGAAAGAGGATGGCGGTTAACCTTGAGGTTGGGGCAATTTAGACTAGCGCTTAAAGGATTCCTGTTTTCAGGGGTCGACCAACCAATTATTTTCAATCAGAACGTACTCGGGTGTTCAACCAACATGGTGAAGTCTTGTTTTTTTCATCGAGTCAGGCGCAGGCGCCGCCCAGCGAGGAGGCTGCCACAGCTCCGTTGCCGGTGACCTCAGCGAGCGAGTTGGCTGGGTTCGTTTTTACGAGTCGTCGCCCAAAGACGACATGAGCCACAATCAAAACCTGGGTAGATGAAGGTTAGTAAGGGATACTCCCAACCATGAATAGTTGCGGCCGCCTTGTTAATTCTTTACATGATTCTGGGTGGACTATTTTAATACCGGGTTTTGATTCTGACTCACATGACCTGGCCGTAGCTCATAAAAGACGGCTACCTGAAATAGAAGCCTGGTGAGTGGAATGGACCAAAGCCTGGTTAGCAGATGCTGTTTGATTTTGAGCCACATGGCCGTGCTTCAACACCAATGGTACCACTTTGGGGTAGATGCACCACCCATTTTAGTCTATTCTAGTGGTTGGATTGGGATGTTCACTGGGGGTACGATTTGGGTTTTGACCCATAGCCACATCCGCCTTTTGGCTTCTTTCCCGTGTTGGTCGATTTGTTTGTTTGCTTGGATTTCCAGGTCCATAAGGGGCAACTGTGTCAGGGTTTGGAGGTGCTCGTTACAAAGACGATCAGATCCCAACTTCCCATTGCTGAAGACTTCTTGTTATGGTCCCTTGTTGGCTTTAAAGGGAACTGATTTCACTGCACGTATT